GGTATGAATTATCGTATATTAATTTTATAGGCTATACTTTATCTATGAATACCTTCTTGAAAATGAACACCACTAAAAATTTATGTCTTCCACTTCCAATTAAACATCTCATCATAAACTGATAATAAGAAAAGATGATGAATATAACATATTAGAGTATTTTTTATACTTAGCAGAGGGGTGTCTGATAATTATGTGTCACTTAAAAGTTAAAAAACTAAATATATTAACAGCCGATTAAAACTTTATAATATTTCAGTGAGAATAATTTGAGTTAACATAAAAATTAACTATTGCAAATCATTGGCTCAAATAAATTTTAAATTGCTATATAAAAGCTCAAACTTATCCAAACATTTGGCAGACTATGACAATTAGTAATTTTTTATTTGGCAGTGAATGCTATTTTTACGACTTGACAATAATTCAAAATGGTTCAGCTAAATTTGACAAAGAATATACCTTAAATATGAGAATGATACCGGTGTTAACTTTATTCCAAAGAAGAGGCAGATTAATCGGTTTTGGGTCATGACTCAATTTGCTTCCCATTGTGGTAGAAAGAGATTTCATGTGTAACTAAGAAATCTTGCTTAATGATTAAATTATAAACTACCAAATTCCTTTGTCAAATATCTCATAACTCTATGATTCAAAAAAATCTGAAGGAAAAGCATGTCACAAAATTATCATGTCTTTATTATTCTGTCAAACTATATGAGGCACACCAAAATTCAATATTTTACATTTGGCATGTCATGCCATGCCGGTCATTATCTAAAATAGTTGGGGCTTTTTCCTAGTTTATTAGATTATGAATGGCAGCCGAACACAGATGAAAAATATATGTCGTTAAACATGATAAGTACAGAACATAATATACTACCTCCATAATCAACCTCAGAACTTAATTTCCTTTCATATGTGCTTAGTTGAAAATTAGTGCTGGCCTCCGTTTCGTTACACTTTATAGCTGTCCGATCATACACCGTGGGCCAAAAATCAAGTTCTGTCAATGTTGAAAGTGTAAACGACATACACAGAAGGGAAGGATAGAGATCATCTTACATATTGTTGTCAATCAGTCCAAGATAGCTATACATGCATGCATATATTCAATTACATAATATTTCTTCTCCTACTACTTTTTTTATAAATCTATATAATTATATTATACCAAGAAAACTCTTTAACAATTATGTCGCTGATATTATGACATTCCTAAGATCTGGAGATATTGGTTATTGACTTCTTTTCGAGAAACTACACCATGCGGGCTTCCCATCGTCCACATTTGTTTACCCTGACTCCCCTGTATTTCGTACTTCTTTTTCAAAACCCACTGCTTGACGCCGAAGTATGTCCACAAACTCTCCTTTTATGAAATTAGACATCTACTTATCAAGTCACAAGACAATAACTGTAAGCCAAAATTAATTTTCTCATTTAGAAAAAAATTGAAATGTAGATGGTTTAATAATTAGCTATCTGCACGGGCTTTAGAACTACATGGTAATCATTGACATTGAAATTGATATCATCCAATCCTCTACATTTAATCACAACATAATCATATGCCATGAAATTAATAGGAAAATCTAACACCATAACAATTCAAATTTTCTATTTAAATAGTGCCATTATATCTTTACTGATAAAACTCATTATAACTACTATGTCATACCTAGCAACAACCAATGAAAAGTGAAATGATAGTTGCTAACCCATCTTCCTATAGTTGTACAATTCAAATGAAGTGAGTGCCTGCAAATATAAATAGATAATTTAGCAAATAAAAGTATTAAATTGTGATTGGAAATTTACTTAAGCTGCATTAGAGATATCAAAGTAGATCAAATGTAAAAAAGGTTTACCTTAATCAACTTTATGTTTGTCTTTAAGATGCGCATCTATATTCTGAGTATGTACATGACACTTGTTATTGCTGCTCATTTGATACTTATTCATTACAAACTATTATCCTATATGAAAAACTTCTTTATACACTACATTTGTAGCTTCGTTTGTTACTTTCTCATAAAATATAATACGAACATGAAGAAAAAAAAGATCTTTTGGAGTCCATTAACAATTTAAGTATAACTTCATTATTGAAATTCCATTTGGAGGACATATAAAACAAACCAAAATTCACAATTGTAAAGTCGGCGATGACTGCTCTTTTGTTAAGTTTTTATCTATCTTCATGAAGAGTCAAAAAGAATTCATGTATCACAGTCCTACATATTGCAAAAAATGGCATCGTCACTCCCTTTCTAGTTGCACACAATATTAACGCGAAGTGTAATCCTGATATACTTGAGTAATCAAACATAAGCCACCTTTATTCGATGAAATCAGCCACATCAGAGGCAGTACTCCAGATCGTTAAAATACGCAATTTCATCAAGAAGATGATAAATAAAAATTTAGTCGAGAAATAGACATATCCCAATATATTATCTCATTTTTTTCTTAACTCTTAATCAGGTAAAACGGTTGTTTCATTGATAGAAGATCGAGAGGATGCATTAGCTTACAAAACAGAAAGAAAGAAGGAAAAGGTAATAGCAAGCAAAACTAACAATCCATTTAAACAATTAAGGATCTAACAAAATCAAGAAATTTAGCTTTATTCTAACACTTAAGTTTTGATATAAGGTATTGTAATTGGGATTGTATTGAAAAATAAATAGATCCCAAGTATCTTATCTTATTTCTTCTTAATAAAGGATCCAAAGGATGGAATAACTTACAAAAAAAAAGAAGAAGAGATAATGCTACAGCAAGCAAAACTAACCGTTTACCTAAATGCTTAAGGATCTAACAAAGTCAAGTCATTCAACTTTAATCTAAAACTTAAGCTTTGATTTCTGACACTATAATTGGGATTGGTTTAGTTCTCAAAAGATAGAAAACAGATCATGAAAAGTAAAATACAACTGGAAAAATGAGAAGATTTAATTACCGAATAATTCACTGTTGTCAAATTGTTGTGGATTTGACAGCTGCTCAACATTGATCTTCTGCATGAATATCAACTTAAGCTTGTGGTCTTTAGTCTTAAGCTTCATATTATTTGGATAAACCACGAAATTCTTCATAACATACAAATCTATTTCCTTAATTTGTTGGTTGAACCTTTGGATAAGAGATATGCCAACACTTGCGTAAATGCGGTCTTCATGCAAAAATACTCAATTAGTTAAATGACTATTTAACTTATGCATAT